TATGGGTAATGCTACATGTACACACACACTTTTACACAATCTTTTACACCTCTCTCACATGAAGGGGGGTCCACGATTATTTTATTATGTGTGGGCCCCCTTCCATGTGAGAAAGGTGTAAAAGATTGTGTAAAAAATTATGTACACTTAGCATTATTCTAAAATTATTAGGGTATTTGCCCGTACGCAAAAAATGTACGTTTCAAATGCAACTTGACTTTTGATGGGCAACATTATTAAAACAAAACTAAAATAATGAATCAAATCCTCAAAATGCTGTATAAGAAAATCGCCACATTCCTAAATAATTTTGTTGAAAACTTTGAGACGGGGAATCTAAATAATCATTCAAAGGTTACCATGATTATAAAACAGTATGCATGATGAAGAAACTAATAATAGGACAAGAAAATGATCGAAAAATAAAAATATAGAAATACTTAATTATTTAAAATTACAAACTAGAAGAAGCCACATTTCTTTTTTTCTTTCTTTCTTATTATCTTAACACTTATTTAAATCATTTTTTTTTTGACATTGAATTTATTTATTATTATTATTTTTCTTTCTAGTAACACGCTTATTTCTGTCATTTCGAGATTAAGAAGACGGCGACCCATTAGTACCAAGATCATGGCCACTACTACCACTATTTTCTTGAAGGTGGCGCTGATCCAAATCTTTACCGTTGTGGAGGTTGTTGCCGTCTTGGTGGTGGCTGTGCACGGCAACGGAGGCGGTGGTGAGGGCGTTAAATATAGTACCACTTGTACTGCCAGAAGTGTTCTTATGGTTATGCATCCACACTTTGAAGACATCTCTGTTTACACCAATTTCGCTGCAGAAATCTGTGATCACATTTTCGTCTTTTTTCTGCATATTCCACTCGATTTTGCTAGCAAATTCCAGCATTTTGTCTTTCTGATCATTAGTGAACTTTGTTCGGAAGCGTTTTTTATTATCTGCGGCGGCGGAAATAGGCCTTTTTTTGTCCGGCGGAGACAGCCCATGGCTGAGGGCCATAAGCATGTGGGGTGCGGAGGGGTAGTAGTATGTTGAAGAGATCGGCGGCGGGGAAGGGGAATTGGTCGGGCTGTTGTT